GGGGGGGGGGTCGCATATGCGGTTTGGGCGAAGGGGTGCAGTGACCGCAGGTGCGGCACTTTAACCACAGATGCGGGAGCGCACCTGCGTTGAGGAGACCGTAGAAGCGATTTTTGGCCCTGAGCCTGGGACCGCAGAAGCGGCACGTCCGTCGCAGAAGTGAGGGCCGCAGGTGCGGAAAGGCTGGAGGCAGTGTGTTCTTTTAAAATCGGGAGATGGTCATTTTTCACCCATTTTCATTTGGTGTGGGCGACTTTGGAGAGCTTCAAGTGGGGGTTTTTCATCATCAACGACAAGGCAAGCTAACCCCACCTATCTTGAGTTAAATATATTGATTATGTATGGGTGTTAGCATGTAAATTGGTAGAAAGTTGGGGGTTTGGGGAAAACCTAGAAAATTCGTATTCTTGGACTTTAACCACGATTTGGGTCACAAAATTGGGAGTAAATTATATATTTGAGTTCGTGAGGTTATGGATAGACTTTATCTTCGAAAAATTTCGGAATCCGGGCATGTGGGCCCGAGGGCAATTTTGTCAACTTTTCGATCGGGGTTAGAAATTATTATAAATTGGATTGTATTGAGTAATTGATCATATATTAATGAGTTTACAAAATTATTGGCTAGTTTTGGAGCATTGTGCATCGATTTGAGTCTTCGAAAAGGCGTGGAATGCCTGTTATGGAACTTCAGAGCGAGGTGAGTCTCCTTTCTAACCTTGTAAGAGGGAATTGTCCCCATAAGTGAATTAATTGGGTATGTGCTGCTATTTGCGGGGGCTACGTACGCACGAGGTGACGAGAGTCTGTGCGTAGCTACTATTATGCTTATGTCCGGGTAGTCTAGGACCCAAAAATATGTTTTACTTGTAATACTTGTAACCTTATTGTTAGTTTAAATTGCTTAAATCATATTGAGGTGGCAAATGACTTTCTAAAAGAGTTAAACTTCATTTCTTGACTTGTAAAAGAGAAATTTACACCTCTTTGAATAATTGTTTCACTGATGAAGTCTTGATTGACTGGTAAAATGTGTGTTTCTATGTGTACCTGCGTCGCATGTATGATTCGCGAGCAGGGTGATTGTTTATTTATATTTGACAGCGTCGCATGTATGATTCGCGAGCGGGGTAATAGATGCATCTATGGTTCGCGCCATTCGACCCTCTAGCAGTGCACATTTTAAATATTGTTAGATCGGGACGTACGACCTCGGCATGAGTTGCGCATGCTTGTATTGCTTGCCTTGAAATTCATTGAAGTTGATATTGGCACTCCCTGACTTGAGAATAAATGTATAATTGATGAAAACGAAAATTTGGAAATTACCCTTTGAATAAAGGAATTGTTTACTTGTTTCATTCTGTTGAATTACAATCATGCCTTATAAAAATCCTTGATTTTATTATATTAATTGTGTATCATTATTGGACCACTAGTAAGTGTCGAAGTCGACATCTCGTCTCTACTTCTTCGAAATTAGGCGGGATACTTACTGAGTACACGTTGATTTCGTACTCATGCTACACTTGCTGTGCATTTTTGTTGCACAGGCACCTGTATTTCTAGTGGCTTATTGGGCGTAGCAGCATGGATGATACGGGGACTAGGTGAGCTGCATTTCTCGAGGCGACTCGCAGCTAGTATAGTCCCTTTCAGCGTATTGCATATATTTTCTGTCCAAATTGTATTCCGGACAGTTATTGTATTGTACTTTATTTGATTCCTTAGTAATTGCTCATGCACTTGTGACACCGGGTTCTGGGATGATTATGGGGTATTCTGTAATAACTTCTAAACATTCTTTATTTATCTTGTAAAGATTATCTTTTACTAGCCAAATTGAAAGAAAAGTCATAGTTTTCACAATTATTCAAATGAGAATTTAATTAAGTATTTATGGTCGGCTTGCCTGACAGGGCGGTCCGGCGCCATCACGACCCTTAGTAGATTTTGGGTCGTAACAAATCCTTAAGTTCCGAAAAGCGGGAAAAGTATTTTCTTACCATCACTTCAAGTCTTGTCTTCAAAAGTTTAAAGACGCTGACAAGTCTTGAAGTAGGAGGCATTTGTAGGCATGTAAAATTTATTAAATGTAAATTCAATAAAATAATTTGAACTATATTTTAAATTCAAGATATATTGGTCCAAATAAATATTATGGGCTAATATAATTGAATTAATCATATAAGTCCAACATATATGGATTAAATAAGTAAGTCTTAATCCATTGGGCTAGCCTATTTAATTGGGCTAAAGTGATGAGCCTACTTCATTAAGCCCAAGATATCATCTTCCTAGAGGCCCAGTTTTGTGCCACGTGTCAAATGACGTGGCACGCCAAGTCAAATGGAAGAGCCAATGGGATCATGCCGCATGTCAAAATGACAAGGCATGCCAAGTCATATTAAATGGCCAATGATACCGCGCCACATGTGCAAGTGACATGTTCTAGCCAATCAAATGCGGCCATGTCATACTTCAATTTGATTGGTCGGAAAGAGTTTGTTCTAATCATAACTCCTCCCTTCCACAACTATAAATAGGGGTCTTCATAGCTCAGAAAACACACCAGAAGTTATAACAAGAAGCAAGAGAGAGCTCGTGGATCAAACACCACAAATTTCTCCACAAGTTTCAAGCTTCAAGCAATCAAGTTCAAGTTCAACAAATCAAGTTCAAGCTCAAGAACGAAGAATAAATCAAGTTCAAGCTCAAGAACGAAGAACAAATCAAGTTCAAGCTCAAGAACGAAGAACAAATCAAGTTCAAGCTCAAGAACGAAGAACAAATCAAGGTTCAAGGAGTGCGAGTTCAAATCAAAGTTCGTGCCAGTTGAATTCAAGATGATCGTTCGTGGCAACAAACATAGATTCAAGATTAAGCTCAAAGGTCCTTGAATTTATTTACAATTGGAAAGAAGAATCAGAGGATCCATAGAGATTGTAACACTCAAATATTCGAAATAATATACTACGATTGTTGCAGTGTTTTTCGATCTTGATTTTATTGTCTCGACGCAAATTTATTGTCTACACACATATCTTTTATAATTACTTTATAATCTGATTAATTAACTCTCGTTTACATGGTCAAATGTCAATGCACAGAATTTAAACCCAACCAAACAAAGTCAGCTTTGTCATTAAAGAACCGATACAATTATACAATCACCAGCGCATAAATTCATCAGAATTCAGAAACACTCATTTAAGAACAGAGTTTCAATTCTGGGTGTTAACACATTCACGTGATTTTTTAATCTTTTGTTGAATTTCCCCTTACATCATCCTCTGCTCTTTTTTTTTTTAACAAGAAAGAAGAAACAAACTTATCAAAAAGTATAAGCATACCTAATATACCAACGACGTTTATCGTGGAGTGATAAGTATTTTTTGATTATTAATTAGAAATTTCATATTCAGTCTTGCATATAAAGTCGCTCAGTGGTGGAGACAAAATTTCGCTAAGGAGGTCCAAAAAAGAAAAACTTACAAAATTAAAAGTGATTGTGGCTAGTAAAAATTAAACCAGTGACCTCAAAGGTTTTGAAGTCCTTTGACACTAAACTATGCTTTTGCGTTGTGTCAACAGATTCAAAATATAATACATAAAGGCACAAAACAGATTTTACCTTATGTGTAGATGAGTGTAGTTTTTAAGTAAAGAAGGTTCGTGTGAATCCCTTTCTGCCTCCTAGATCTACCCCTAAAGTCACCTTTACTAGGTATTACTTTACTCCCAATATTGGATTTTCAAGCGTGAACCAAATTTAGTCAATCCCAATATAAATATCAAACACCAAATGGAAAATCAAAAAATAACCACGCCTAATATTTATGTGTATGGTACAGGGCGGATATATATAGCATAAATTATGGGGCACGTGAACCCGTGTTCCCTTCGTCAAACTAGATATTTTATGTATCTATTTTCTAGAATTGGTCCAATATTATGTATTGTCACTCATGCTTCGTAAAGGTTGAATGGTACACTTTATTTAATACTTAATTATTTACTCAAAAAAATAAATATCAATTCCCACTTAACACTTTTTTCCTCCTTTCTTTAATTGTGCACACCTGTTCTAAAAAATATCTGGTTATACATTTAAGTTACGTGTCTTTGCATGTTAGAGCTCTGTCTGCGTAAGAAACAAAGAAATAAAAGAAGAAGATTAATTATAAAAGAGACTTTTGCCTGACGTGTTAGGTTGGTAACTCGGTTATTTTCAAAACCAAAATACATGTTGCAGTTGAAGAAAAGAAAAGGATGGAGTCTTGCAAATAAAGCATCTGTCTTTCTCATAATCGTAATAAACACTTGGAATTTAGAAATTATTAATTGTTTATTTATTGAATATGGAAAGTTGACTTCCTTGAACTACATGTGTTTGTTTTGTTGTCAAATCATCAGGTAATAAACTGTTATTTCCTGATTGGGTAGGCAAGTTGGTGATACCTTCCAAACAGGCACGAGGAGTCTAGGCAAATTGTATATTATTGACCTAATTTAAAAATAAATCAATTTTTAAATTTTTATCTGATCCTTAATGACATAACTTATAGTCACACAAATATTTACTCCTTTCGGTTAACTTTAATTGGTTTTTTGGTATTTTTTGTAATTCACAATATTTGATTTTTTCAGATATCAAAAAGAAATTAACTTCTTTTTTTCAAAGTTGCCGTTGGAGTAAAGAGCTTGGGAGTATTTGTTATAGTTTCAATGAATAAATTAAGGTTAATATGGTCAATCTCATTATTAATTAATGATAAAAGGTAAATATTTTAATATGTATGAAAACAATCAAAAAATCAATTAAAGTGGATCTGAAAATTATTATTTTAGACTACAAATTTGAAAAAAAAAAAAAAGAAATCATAGATTTTGTGCCTAATCAAACCATCACATGAAATGGAACAAGTTATATTAAACTCTAAAACAATAATTTCAAAAGTGCTATGCATTCGGTGGTAAGAACCTAAGAGTATAGGCGCGCGTACCTTACCCGATGGAAGTCAATTTATATTCCTCCACTAAAAAATTATACTGTATAGATAGATCAATTCTTTTTATTAATATGATTATATGTCGAATCTCTTAACTTATTGATATATTTATTTCTTTATATTCGACACCTCAATAAAAATAGTTAAATTTAAATTTTGACCTCGCCTCAAACTTCCAAACAGCTCCTTCAACTCTTCATTCAGCAAATATGCCTTGTTTTCTGGGTCAATCCTAATTTTCTTTTACAGGGATCAATTTGCTTTAAATTTTTTAGTCCCTCTCAAAGTTTTGCTTTGACAACTGTTTTATTGAACTCCTAGAACTTTATTGTTAAATGTGGTTTGTGCTTTCTCTTTGGTAATATCCAATTTCCAACTAAGGACCAACCCTCCTGTTTGGGCTGTGCATATTGAACTGCAAGAAAATATGGGTGCTGAAAATCAAAGCTTGAATAGAGATTTTGGAGAAAAGGGTGTTGAAAAGATCTCTGTTTCTGATCATATTAATGGATTAAAGTGCGCAAGCACAAAATCAGAGAGCTTTGTTGTGAATATGGAAAGCATATCTCATCTTGTGGAGAAAGAAATCAGTGGAAATTCAAGAATTACTGTAAGTTAATTTCATCTTCCTTTCTCATTTTAATGTTTTCATCTTCAGAACATTGAAGGGGAGCATGTGAGCACTGGTAAAGTTGTCTCCGTATGATCTATAGGTCATAGGTTTAAATCGTGGAATCTGCAACTGATGCTTATATTAGGGTAGGCTGGCTACATTTCACCCTCGAGTACGGCTCTTCCCTTAACCCTGCGGTTAGAACTGTGGCAAAGTTGTAACATTGAAGGGAAGAGTGTTTGAGCAACGGTAAAATTGTCTGACCTCTAGGTTACGGGTTAGAACCGTGGAATCCGCCATTGATACTTACATTAGGCTAGGCTGCCAATATCTCACCTCTGAACGTGGCTCTTCCATGAAACCTACATGCCCCCGAGCATCTTAAAAACATTATGTCAACACAAATTTTTCTTAACTACTAAATCCCTTTGACAATATTAAGGAAAGAACTCATTAGTTTTCCAACTTCGTTCTTGGTCTAATTCAAAAATGAATTTCTTTTTTAAGCAAGAAAACTTGTAGAGGGAAAAAGGGGTATTCTTCATTAATAAAGCGGTCATATTGCAAAAGCCAGAAATACTTGTTTGCTTTCTTTTTCTTTTTCTTTTTTTTGGTTTTTTTATCTTCTTTAAACTAATTGTTAGAATGAAAAAAATTGCAGAGAAACTTGTCAAGAAAGGGTTCATTGCGAGGCGGCGAGAAAAGAACAAACTTTAACGCTATGAATGAGAAAGACACTAACCTAATGGTGGCGACTTCACCAAGAGGTAATAGAATTTTTTTCGTTCTTCATTTTTTGTTCACTTTCTTCATATTTACCAATAGTTTGCTAAAATCAATTACTCCCCCTTTCAGTTTATGTGAATTTTTTCGCTTTTAGAGAACCAATTTGACTAATTTTTTACGCTAAATTGAATTACATTAACTTAGTATCTTAAATGTTAAAATTTGGATATTCAAAATTATATGAAAAGTAGTATAAGTTACAATTCTTTTTATCTCAGTATAAAGAAAATATACATTTTAAAATATTGGTTAAAGTTTATATAACTTAAATCGAAAGGCAAAAAAATTCATATAAACGGAACAGATGGAGTAGCTGGTAAAATTCTTGAGGTTTAAAGTCCACCAACTATGTTTTTCTCTCCTTACCCGTCTCCAGCAAAAGCACCGGTAAAAAGATATTGACCAATTTGTTTTTTTTTTTTTTTCTTTTGGTCCGAATGGTTTCAATTGAGTCCCTTCATCAAAAATTTAAATTGTGTAAACAAGGAAATAATAATTACTTTGTATGTAAAGTTTTTGAACGCTCTTGAAAATGTCTTGTAGTAAAAATAGTCGAATCGTCTATAAATAAGGAATACCCTTGGTGTAGTGGCAAAGGTGACTTAAAATTGTTGGGCAAAATAAAATTGATTAGTCGGCCGAAATTAATATAGCATATGTATATAATACACATATATACAAAAAAAAAGTATAGTACATATTTTTGACTATTTAAGAGGCTAAAAATATAAATTTCGTAAAATGATTTTAGATTGCAATTTTGAGTCCTAAATATAGCAATTTAATCTCCTTGTAGAAATTTTAGTTTCGTGGAAAAGAAGCACAATCGTTGTGTCACTTATATGTACCCTCCAATATAAATTAGAAGGATTGAAATTAATCTTTGTCAAGTTTAGCAGTTTTTGTCTATATTTCGTAATCACCGCTGTAGTTTTATTATCTTTTAATAAATATATGTACAGACGAGATAGAGGTCAATTACCTACCATGCTAGGATAAAAAGACAACTGCATCATTTAATGATTGTTTGAATTTAATCAACCATCTTAATTTAATTCTATCAATGCTAAAATCACCAATGCATCGTGTTTTCAGAGTTTTGAGGTTTATTTATTCAGATTTTTTTTTTTCTGAGGTAGATGCTAAATTTGCTTCTTTAATCGTAATAATCGGAGTCACCGACCCCCGCTAACTTCGGAAAAAATGTATGTCTATATATGTATACATCTTAAATAACATATGTATATTTTGATTGGTATTCTGAGATTCCAATCTTAGGCAGCTTCAATGGCCGATTTAAACGGGCGCACATTGACTTTTAGTATGTTACTTGGGTTCGATTCCGACTCCAGCATTTACTCAAACTTTTATTCGACAGTGGTGCTCCTCCACTTTCAAATGTTGGGTCGGCCTCTAGTAATACTATACGCAATTATGATAATTATTATGAAGGATTTAGTTTGACCATCATAGATAGAGTTATTAAGTGACAATCGTGCCTAAACATGCACCATGCACTTGCACGACAAACATAGTTTCACTAAACAACTCACATCTTAAGTTTTCCACTCTGTCTCGTTATTTTCATATGGTAGTACTTTACAAGATCAAAACTTTGTTTAAGTATTATTATTGTACTTAGCTTAGTTGTCTTGTAGTTTGTTTAAGGCAGTCTGGTGCAGGAATCATCTTGCATTCACGTAGGATTCGGGGAAGGATCGCATCTCAAGGGGTGTGATGTAGACAGCCTATCCTGATGCAATCATCACTGATATAAGCAATAGCGGTTGATTCCACGACTCGAACCCGTGACCTATAGGTTATACGAAAATAACTTTACCGTTGCTCCAAGGCTCCCCTTCTTGCCTTGCCTTGTAGTTAGGTTAATTCCATTAAAAATCATCTTAGTGGATGAGGTGAATTACTCTGATCTTCAATCCTAGATGTGCCAATTACGTACGCCATTAGTTTGTAATTTATATAATATAGGTGCACGTGAGCCCTCCTGTTTTAGAGACTACTAATCTTTTAATTATCTTATTAGATATTGTCCTTTTGTTAATGTTTTCTTTAAAGATTGCCAAGATTTTCTCCGTGAGCTATGATTTGATGAAATGATTATGGCACTAACATCTTTTTGCAATCAAAATGGATACAACCGAAAAATTACATTATCCAAGCTGTCCACTCAATAACATCCAAAAATGTTGAAGATAAGAATGATTATAGTATATAATATGCCAATGGGTTGGAATTTACAGAATGCATTCCTTTTTTATTCCCCTAATTTAGAAAAAAGCACCACATTGCATTAGAATTATTGAGTGAAGCAGACTAAGCTAAGACATAATTATGATGTAATCTGAATGGAATTAAATTAAAGATTTAAATTATATACAATAACAATTTCTTTTACAAGTACAATTTGTTTAAACTTAATTTTACAAGTGCAGCATCTTTGCTAGCAGCTAACACTCCTGAAAAGACGATGGCAGTAACGGTGGGGACAGCCGATCATCGGACACCAGACATACATAATCAGATCACAGCAGCGGCCGCCACACCGCTGGTGGCGGCCGCCAACAGTGTTACTGCCACCGAGAGCAAAGTTGGTGGCAGAAGATTCAGTTTAAGACGATCTTCTTCCCCTTCTTGGACCATTGATCCTAGGAGGATACTAATTTTCTTTGCTACCTTGTAAGTTCTTTTAGCCCTGTTAAACAATGTTCTAATTTATTAGTAGTCTTGTACAAACCAATGGGCATTGTAAAAACAGCTGACTTTTGTTTTTTCATTGACAGGTCAAGTATCGGAACAATACTATTGATCTATTTCACTCTATCCATGACCAAAGTTACTGGAGAAGACAAAGCTTCTTATTGATCTATTTCATACTATCCATTGCCAGGCAAAATGGAGAAGACAACGTTTTCGTTAACAGAAGAGATGTGAGGAACTGTTTGTTCTCTTAAATAACAAAGTGATAAAGAGGTCAACCAACTACTTGTGTAAATTCCAACTCAGAAGTCTGATATAGAAGCAGAAGAGATATTGAGCATCACTAGTTTTTGAATAACAAAAAGGAGTTACATGAATGGAGCCAAAAGAGATGCTAAAATTACAGCTTGGCCTAACATTTGAAATAATTCAAAGATATAACTTCAATCAGCTGCCTCTTGTTGTATGACTTTTACGAGAAGAAAATAGTAGACACAACATGAAAAACATGCGAAATATTCAGATAAAGAGTGGCAGGGTTTGGAACACATGTACATCTTTTTCTTCTTCTTTTTTTTATTTTTTATTTCGAGTTGTTTATATGTGTTTTTGGTTTGATATATTATTATACAGATGTTTTTTGAGAACCAGGAGTAATATATTGCGATCCCATGCTATTTTCTTTTTATTGTTTGCAGCTTTAATGATGGCAAACAACAAAGCAACAAAAATTAGGACCTTAACGTCCATGCCTGCAATAAGCTCTTAATAGAATATTGAAGCATAGCCAGTAGTATGCATATTTATCCAACTTACTCTGAGATAAGCATAGCATTCCACACCGCGACAACTTGCCCATTTTGTCGCGCCATTATATGAGCATGACATCGAGCGCCATGCCAAGCAGGAAAGGATAGCCCTGGCAGAACAAGGCAGTATTGGCATTGCCATGCACAAGAGGTAAAGCAGACTGTGGGCGCCAAAAGCAGAGTGCATGCGAGAGTCTTACATGTGTGGGTAGCGACCGAAGGAACTTAGGTTCTTCCCTTTACATTGTGCTTAACTCCCCAAACTCACCCACACAGCAGACAGCAACTTCGAGTCGTAGGCCTCATATGTGAATTAACATATAAGAGTGAAGCTGAACTTGGCACTGTCAAGGGGACATCTTGTGTCAAGTGCCGCATGTTGCTGCCTAGTTTGATGAGAAGACAACTCGTTTAAGACACCATCTCTGAAAGAGTATTACATGCTAATCCATAACTTGATGCATCTGTATAAGATTCAACCCATGGTTGCAGGTACTTCTTTGTTTATATGGACAATCAGCATTTTACAGTATCACGACATAAATTTTTCTTTTATATCCGCCGGGTCTGGGCTAAGTTGCACGGACCTCGACTAATTTCACGGAATACCTACTACCTCCCACCAGCAATAGGTACCAAGTAACTCTATCTACCAAGGCTTGGATAGATGTGAAGAAAATTACAGTATCATGCCATATAGGCACACCATTATCTGATAGAGAAAAACAGGTACACATTTTATGCTGGACCTTCGACTTGCATCACAGACACAGAAAAAGAGCTTTTATGGAGCGAAAAAACTGGCCACATCTGTCCCCCTCCATTCCCCTTAGGCTCCACCCCCAAGCCAGGTAGGAATAAAGACAGAATATCACTCATTTACAAAATATACAAAGATGCAACAGCATTAGCTATATTCAGAGTTCATATTGTTGCAATATTTACATGAGGTGCAACAGGGGTTTTTATTGAAAGAGTTATCATTACCTATCAGCGTATTTAAACTACGTAGAGCACTCTACGAACATATAAACCAAAACGTACGACACCTGTCATACATAAGTTGCTATCATAGTAAGTTTATTGCTCCGGCATTACCAGCCAAAGATGATCTCTTGACTTTCAAGTACTGTCTTTTATTGAACCCCAAGATCTGAACCATCAATGCTTGAGAACAATAGTTTAATAGCGTTTTGAGATTCTTGGCATTGAACACCTGTTCTTTCTGTCATGGTAAAGTCTCAGAACAATAACTGCCGTTTCTTCAATAGCTTTAGCTGTAACTTCTGCAACCAAATGGAAGAAAAAGAATCATCAAATTACTAATAAACTACCTCATTAACTCGTCTGCATGGGCGTAGTTGCGGGAGGATCGCCTCCTGATTGTTATGCTAATGTGTTACACCCATTATCAGACAACAGAAAAACTTCATCACATATATGATATATGACATACAAAATTTGGAAGGTGAATTACCTATCACTGGCCAGACAGGATTTTGCGCAAAAATCTTTCCCGCGAATTCCAACTCTTGTTTCACATAATCCATGTCACAATAGTTGGTTTTTATTTCTCCATTAAAACCGAGAGTCTTAGCTCTTGCTCTTCTGATGGATTGCAGAACAACAGGATTTATGGTCAAAGCAAAAACCTTTTCTGGATTAACTTCAAAGAGAGTCTTGGGCAAGTCTACATTCATGACAATGGGCACATTAGCTACTTTATATCCTTTCTGTGCTAAATAAATAGACAGTGGTGTCTTCCCAGATCGTGAAACACCCGTTAGAATTATATCAGCCAAGTGCAGATTTCGTGGCAAGGCGCCATCATCTTGCTTTATGGTAAATTCAATTGCTTCAATCCTTCGGAAGTAATCCTCGCTGAGAGTTTTTTCCCTCCCAGGAGCCCAGCGAGGGAGGCCAGAAGGTGAAACACCAAGATGGCCACCAATCGCCTCTGTAATTGGTCCCAGTACATCGGTAGACGCTACACCCCAGTGATCACATGCTTGTCTGGCGGATTCAGACATAGAAGGATCAGCTAAAGTATAGACGACCATCGCCCTCTCCTTGGCTGCTTGTTTTATTATCTCCATTAATTGTTCAACATCATCAATCTAGAAAACGTGGTCCATCAAGCAAAAACAGTTCAACATAATAACCAGCAATCTATTTGTACTAGGAAATCTTATTCAACACTAAGCTTAACCATATCTGAGGCGTGATCACATCAGATAGTTATTTAGTTGAATACATCAGATAATAAAAATGTTCATTTATATTTTAGATGATAAAAAAAGAAAACAAGATCGGATTGCTTTTTCACATGAATCTTTCATGTCAAGTTTACTATTGTATTAACTCTGGCTATACAAATGAAAATGCATGTCAGTAGCATACTAGCATACTAGCAGCTCCAAGCAAGAAAATTACTTGTAAGCTAAATTTGTAGCCATTCTCATGGAATCTTTCATAATTCACATCAAGTTATATATGCAATCTTACCTGTGATATGGTAGGGTAGTTATCATTTTTAGCAGATTACCAATTAATACTTACTAAGAGATTTACCTGTAATTACTTAGTAACTAACCTAATTGTGTAAGTATTGTTTTACACCATCACTGCATAGAACTTAAATTATAATCCAAAAGGATTTTAGTTCCATCCACCGACAGTGTAAAGTCTTTTTTAACACAATGAGTAAATCTTAACCTACCACATTAAGTTAATCATCATCTTTGCTAGATTACCAACAATAACATATCCAGTATAATCCCACATAGTGGGGTCTTGGGAGGGTAGTGTGTACGCAGATCTTACTCCTACCTTTGTGGAGGTAGAGAGGTTGTTTCCAATTGACCCTCGGCTCAGGCAAGCCTAGGTACCACAATAATAACAAGAAAACAAGACGGGACAACACCGAAAAACCATGTAAAAGCAGCATACACCACAATATAGTAAGATGATCGAAATGTAAATAAAAAAACATAAGGTATTCAAATAAGCCTACTACCAACCAAATGTGAGAGTACGTACTAACATTATCGGTATGAATAATCTAGACTACCTAACCTACTATCCTAATCTTCGACCTCCACACCTTCCTAATCACCTCAACCCAACTTTTCTTGTAATTACTAGATTACCAATTACTAGTATATTTATCACAAGATTTACTTGTAATTACTTGATGACCTGATTGTATAAATATATTTTACTCAGTGCATACAACTTAAATGCTAATGCAAAATGCAAAAGTATTTATGTTATATGCACTGATAGTTACACCATCACTGTAGCTTTTGACTGTTATTACAAGGTACTTACCGTTTATTAAACATTACCTATCAATGTTATTAAGTAGAGTTACTTTAATTACTTCTTACAACAAAATTTAAATGTGTAAACATATTTTACAACAAAATTTAAACTAAATGCAAGAATCACAAGCAGATAATACTATAGGATAAAAGTACAAACTTACCCCAGAGAACAAGTGAGTATTCACAGGACAAAGCCGATCAACTAAGCAATAATCAAACTGTCCTAACGCCGCGTTAACGGCGTGTTCCGCCGTCCATCCAGTTCCGTCAGACACCATAAATATCGACTTCCCTCCTCCGTTACCCTCCGTTTCACTCTCCGAACCGGACCCACTCCCACGCTTAGGAGACGTAGGCAACTCAAATTCCTCTTCACCCCGAACCGGCGAACCGGAGTTGGTGCGTAATTCAACAGACCGGTCTAATTTCCTTCCGGACCGGATGCTTCGAGCTCTGGACCACCGGTTTAGCTGAGGACTAATTTTAAATTTTCGAACCTGTGGCTGAGTCAGTTCATCGGAAGCTTCAGAACTCGCCGGAGGAGATGGGCTACTGGACATGACTAAGCTAGAAGAACAAATCATTTTTTCGAATTTGATGTTTATTATCGCTGAATCTAAGTCGGTGTTTTGTTGATCTTCTGAATATGCAATATGAAAACACCTTCACAGTTGAGATTTTTTTGGGGTTCCAGAAATCAAAATGGGCTGGGTCGGCCCATATCTTTGCGATCCAACTATTCTAATATGGCCCATGTTTTTATTTTATTTTGTTTAGAGGAATTTTCAGAAATGATTACTGTTTAGTGGCTATTAACTTTCTATAGCTATCATATACATAATTACTTTCCGTAGCTACCTTTCAGTTGTTATGGTAATGTATTCGAGCTACTGTATTCATGAACACAATAGCAAAATTGGTTAAAAAATAGGGCAGTCCAGCTGTCAGCCGTTGTATTCACATGTATTCATACCATGTATTCATGAATACAACGTAATAATAGGTCTCTCAAGTTGTTTAATAACGGAAAGCTGCTAATTTAACGGGATACACTCCTAATATAACTCACCTAAATTAATTATAACACGCAACATTATCAAACCAATTAATGAGAAGATTTATTAGACGCTAAACATAGAAAAAACAGAGCATTCTTCAGAGTTTCAATCTCTTTTTTTTTTTCTGATACAATTCGAGTTTTTTTTCCTGTTATTGTTCGAGGTTCTGCTCAGAATTGATACAAGTATCTACAGAAATATTTTAAAATTCGATATTTTGTATATGAATACATCATGTATTTATGCCGGATATAACCTATAATAGTAACCTACTGCCTGCATATTTCATAATAAACTTAGTGCTTGTACTCTGTTGTATCTAATAGTTGTGTTCAATGTATTCAAGTTTATTTTTGTATTCACAATATTTTATTTATTCTTAATACATGGTATTACTGCTTTATTGAGTATATTTCATTGGTTGTATTCAATGATTTTCTATTTGTATTGAGAGTATTTTACTGTATTTCGCTGTATTGTTGTTTTAAATACA